TATTTTTTCTTCTTTGCATTTCTTATCTCATAAATAGTCTTAAAATGGTCTTAAAATGAGCCAAAAATGATCTAAACAGGATCATAATAGGCTCATATTTTGATGACCATAATAAGATGATATTTATTCCATAAAAAAATGACATAATTATGACTATATTATGATACAATAAATTAGATAAATATGGGAAAGATATGATTTAAAAATGAGCCATATATGGCACATAAATGAATCGTTCATGGCTCATTTTTTATCTCATTCTTCACGGCCTGGGACGTTTAGTCTGTTCGACTCCTCCAAGAAAGCTTTCACAAAATAAGACATATAGCACTTATAAAGTCTGTCATGACCATTCCTCCAACACTTCTGTAGACTTAGTTCCACAAGGTTTAGCTTGCCTACTAATTTAGTCTGCCGGGCTTTGGGGAATTTTATGTTTCAATCGAAAGGACTTAGAAGGATCTAGAACTAAGAAGCTTCTCTTGGAAAAAAATTTGTAAATACATATGAATGATTGCGTGTGCATAAAATCAAAAATTTAGAATGACAGAAGCTATCTACTTGATATGAAACAAAATACGGTACACTCATCTCTCAACAATTCACACGTTAATACCTAAGGGAAGTTAGCAGCACATTTCTACATTTTCGCCTAACGGCTTTTATTAAAGCTGTGCCACCTTTGGAAATAAGTGTGCCAGATAGAAGTCGATGAGCTCTATCGAATGGCAAAATCAGTTTTCCAGAATATTGTTTTCTTTAGACAGGAGTTATCAGTTAAGGGAAGCGTCAAAATTATGATTGTAGCAAACGTAGCAATCGTAGAATGTAAAGAGCTTCTCTTTCATGTTTGTATAAGAGAAACAATATGTAAAATCTATCTTTTCTTCTCCATTTTATTTATTTTTTTCTATAGATTACCTTTTATTAACTCTTATATATAACACATCAGAGTACATATAACTATGCTAATTAATTATAGGGGATATGTATATTGTTTGTTTGTTTGTGTAGAGCTTTATTCAAGAGAAAGCCGGAAGACTGGTTTGCCACTTGGACGCTGTCAGCCTAAAGATAATTTAACACAATGACTAGATTTTATAAAACTACTTATGAACGTACATTTAAAAATAGAATAAATATAGGCTACAAATTATAGTGTCTTTAAAGATATCATCCCTCTTTACTTCATTCTAATAGAGATTAGGCATTTACAAACAAAAACAAAAACAAAATAAGGGAATTATGTTGACCACACAAAATCACAGAGAATATCAAAGAACGTTTCGTTTTTACTTAATGCAAACTTTACATTTCTTTTGTTAGGTCTACCTCTTGGTAGCCATTTTATACAGCAGTATACATCCTAAGAACTCATGCTCGTACAACTGAATACTATTTAGTCTTTTATTCAGACATTTTTTATATTTTTCCTCTATAGTTGGGAGAACAAAAGTGGAATGTAAATCAGCAGTTGAGGCACGAAAAATACAGTAGATCATACGTAGACAACGACGCTAGAGAAAGTTGACACGGTTTTTTGAGGTATGAGAAAATAAACAATAGATTGTTGATAGGATATAGAGATGAGGCCAGGTGTAAATGTTGAAGAACCGCTGTTTCAAAGAGAAAAACACTAGAAATTGACGATGTATATATTTCAGAATAGTGTAAGATTTTCTGAGTTTGAAAAACTGAGCATCAATCATCCCACAGAATGAAAGTTTAGAATCGTTATAAAAGCCTAGATATTTGAACGTTTTTTGTTGTGTTAGCCGTTGATTTTCGTAAAAAATATTCAGCTTAGGACATTGAACCGATACACGATAGACAACAAATTCGGTTTTACTTATGTTTACAGGCTGATGCCAATCATCGGCATATCTTTTCAGTTTAGCCATGTCGTCGTTGATGCGCTTTTCCAAATCTCGTATTTGTTGACTGTATTTCAAAAATATTGATGGTATATATACATTGGCTAGGTCATCAACGTATAGGTGTGTGTTTTCTGGATTTTCAAAAATTTGTGGTAAATCATATATGTTGACAGTGTATACAATCGGTCCAAGCACAGAGCCTTGTGGAGCACTCCGTAGCACGTCAATTTCATTTGAAAGATGTCCATTATGATCAATGATAATAGTTGTCTTGAAAATATCTCGTGATCCACAGAAGGTATGCATATGGACACTCTAAGTTATACAATTTTAATATCAAGCCTTGTTGCCATACCATATCAAAGGCTGGTTTAAAATCAACATAGATGACTGGTGTAAATGAATTGTAACGCAACGATTGTGTTATCTGTTCAATCAGAAGATTTTCTCTCGACGATGTGGACAGATGTTTTCGGGCTCCTGCTTGCTGCGGTGGTAAAATGTTTTGTTGTTCGAGCCATTTCTTAAATTTAAGTAGAAATAAATGTTCATATAGTTTGCTCAATACGGGTAATAGTGTTATCGGTCGTAATTGTGATGTGGTAAGTGCGGGATTATTCACCTTATTAAAATACTTGATTGTTTCCATGACTTATCCCAATGGGCTCCGTTGAACAATTCATTGTATGAGCTTACGATATCTGCATAGTAGAGATCTGATATCGTCTTGACCATTTTGTTCTAGATTTTATCGAATCCTGACGAGCTTTTTGCACTCATTTTTCCGATCGTTGTTTCCAAATCTTTACAATTGAATTTTAAGTCCGAGTTTGTATACGCACAGTCAATGTCTGCTTGCTCGACTTTGATAAACTTGTTCCATAGATCTGTGGCTTCTTTATCGATCGGTTTATTCATGTCAACAACGGGTGCGGAGAAGCGCGATATAAAATGGTCTTGCAGGCATTTAATAATTTCTTGTGGTGTCTTGTGTATAATGTTATTGTTTGTGATGGCTGAAAATTGTGTCGATTTTCTCTTGTTTAGACATTTTACAGTCTTCCAGAATCTTGTTGGATTAGGTGATGCTACATTTGTGATGAATTTGACCCAGTTGTTTTGTTGATGAATTTTCAATTCATGTTGGACTATTTTGTTCCATGTACGAAGTCGTAAGCGATCATCTTCAAGTTTTGAACGATGGTATTTGTTCTGTAAGTAGTGTTTATGTTTTAATAAGATTCCCAATGACGTTGGGATGCTTGGTCATTGTTGTTTGATTTTATGCCATACGGTTACGCGGTGTTTCAGAGAGTCTAAGAATTTTTGGAAAAATCTGAACCATTCAAACTGATGATTTTGTTTATTTTTTCTTTCATTTTCAATGTCTGGGTGTAATATACTTAATAAGTTTTGATAGACGTCGCAGAATGTCTTGGGTAAAAGGTAGGTGTTCTCGTTAACGTGTATATTTCTGCATTCTATGAATACTGGCAGATGATCGCTTCCAGTGTATGGTGCTGTACGGCATTGAATTGTCGATGTTTGTTCCGTTGACATTATTAAATCTATTGTTGCATCCGATCTCAACGAGAGATGTGCTCTAATACTCTCACGTCGCGTAACCATTTTTCATCTTAACAGCTCTACACGAGAACATTCACTTTCTTATCTAATCCACCACACAAGCGTAGTGGGATATTTGAGATATTTGCTGAGTACGCGTAGTCCGCCTGTTGAGATATTTGCTGTATCCGAGATATCTAAGATACTTGCTCAGTACGCGTAATCCGCACATTGAGACATTTGGTGTATCAGAGATATTTGCTCAGTATGCGTAATCCGAGCATTGAGATATTTGGGGTATCTGAGATTTTTGAGATATTTGACATACTTGGTCAGTATGCGTAATCCGCGTATGGAGATATTTGATGTATCTGAGATATTTGCTCAGTACGCGTAATCTGCCAATTGAGATATTTGGTGTATGTGAGATTTTTGAGATATTTGAGATACTTGCTTAGTGTGCGTAATCCACGTATTGCGATATTTGGTGTACGTGAGATTTTTGAGATATTATTAAATTCTCTACAACTGTCTGACTAGTTTGGGTCACCATCTAGGTCAGTAACGGTCGATTGCGAATTTTCTGTTATATTCTGAGATTGACACCTCCAGGATGTGTATGGAGGTTTCGAAAGATATGTAATCCGTGAATAAACTGTTCGAAAATACTTGACATACAAAACACAAGAAAATTACTTGAATTTATAATTCAGGACCTACCAGTATCTAACTGGTTGAGCATATATAAGCAAATATCATAAGAAACCAAAAACATAGTGGTAGCACTGTTCAGCTGCTCGTGTTTTAGAACTACAGCCCATAGCTTGGAAAATACACATTCGCTGAGAATTTGATTTGCTGAAAAATGAATTCGCATTCGTTGGGAATTCGTTTCGGTATGCAATCGATGATCATAATGCGTATTGATGTATTACCAAATACCTCCACTTCGTGTCGAAGTACAGGTGTCGGGGGGAGGAGAGATGATGTGAGAGGAAGTCACGATCGTTAGAAAAGAGAAAAACTTAAGGTTTTCTCGACTCAGCAGTCAAAGGTATTTCTCTAATATGTGTTCATCTGGAATGGATAGCCTGAAAACCCGCACTTTCTACCTGAAGAGGTACTCACCAGCATTAACAGTCACAGAAGCTTCGCCACCTTGCAACAAAATCGCGTTCACAGGCTTAACTGGTAAAGGCTTAAATAACAGAGAATTCGCAATCGATCCTTACCTAACCTAGATGCGGACCTAAACTAGTCAGAAAATAACAGAGAATGATCTCGATATTTGTTCACTACGCGTAATGCCCCTGTTGACATATTTGGGGTATCTGATATTTTTGAGATATTTGAGATATTTCCTCAGTACGCGTAATCCGCGTATTGAGATATTTGGTGTATGTGAGGTTTTTGAGACATTGGAGATACTTGCTCCGTATGCCTGATCCGTGTATTGAGATCTTTGGTGTATCTCAAATATTAGCTCAGTACGCGTAATCCGCCTATTGAGATATTTGGTGTAGCTGAGACAATAGATTGGCACTTCAATTTGAGAAAAATCGGCATTTGAAATTTGTTTCATACTACTTTTTCTGGCAAAAACATGTCTTAAAGTCGTGGCTATATAATGCTAAAAACCACAGGTGTTTCTCCCTTTCCTAAACAAAGTCATTCAAAAAACAACCGCGTACTTCGTTTTCTGAAATGGATAGCAGTCAGAAAATAGCAGTAGAAATAAATATAGAGAATTTGCAATCGATTCTTACCTTACCCAGATGGTGACCTAAACTGGTCAGAATATTATAGAGAATTCGCAATCCATGGCTACCTCTAGTTCAAGTCAAAATGTCTTGTGAATTCACATTTATTTTCTGACGAGTTTAGGTCTCCATCTAGGTCAGGTAACGATCGATTGCGAATTCTCTATTATTTTGTGACAAGTTTAGGTCATTGGCACTCTGTGACTATTGGTAGCCCTGGAGACGGATGGACTATGGGTAATGGATTATACTGAGTCTTGTGGCAATATTTGTTTTGAGAAATAGTTTTGAAAATGTATCAAAAAGCGAGTTTTACGAAAACTAAGGTTTTCAGACAGTTTTCGCCTAATATTAACACTAAAAATGTTACGTATCTTTTACATCTATTCGGTCCCATAATCACGTTTAGCGGACAACATTAATCGTATCCTGCAGTTTTTAAGTCGTTCTGATATTTTTTGAATGAATAGTGAATTTGTTAATATTAGGCGAAAACCGTCTGAAAACCTTAATTTTCGTAAAACTCGCTTTTCGATAGATTTTTAAAACTTTTTCTCAAAACAAATATTGCCACGTGACTCAGCATGATCGATTATTCAAAGTCCATCGGCCTCCAAGGCTACCAATAGTCACAGAGTGCCGATCCTGGGTTCGTAGGAAACGCGATTCAACGCCCGGACAGCGGGCAAAAACATTTTTCTTCTGGAAAAATTTTGGTTATGAAAACATACCTTCAAGTCTCCTCTTTCGAGTGGTGTTTTTAGTGGACTTTTTATCTCTTTTCGTTCTGGAGTTATTTAGGAAATAGTCACGGCCATTGAGAAGGACACTCCAACAAAACGACCAAAATAATTAGTTTAATTTAAAAGTTACAGGTTTGTTGACGTTTCTGTAAATGAAACTGGGATGTCTTCATCTCATATATTTTTCTTATGTGCTCGTATATATGTATGTGGAACTTTATCCCTTTTTATACAAAAGAACAAGAATAGAGAGTTTGTTCGTATATATGTTATGATGACATATGTACACACCCATGCCATTATCTGTCCTCGTCTACTATTATCTGCACTCCTCCTTAGGTGATTCAACAGTAGTAAAGGGTCGTAAAATCGATTTACGAGGCTCTAATCCTATGCTCCGTAATACTCCCGCCATAAACGAGCGTATACCGGTCCATTATGGCTGTAAACGGCCTCGTACAAGGTTGTTTACGGCTGCCGTATTACGGAACATAGGAGTACGGCCAAATTACGTCAAGTTACGGCCATTTGCGACGTGATACGTTACAGTATACGGTCGTAACTCGCCGTATATGACCACCGCAGTTCATAATCTGTGTTTTCTAACCAGTACTGAATGCGTCCAATATTAAACGTCACCATTTAGTTCAACGTGATTTCTCGATTAAAGAATTTCAATTTAGAGATTCAATCTGAATATTAAAATGTTATGAAGTGTTAGTTAGTCAGTAATATCACTACCCAAGCGTTGTATGATGAAAGTAACAATAACGGGATTATAACGAAAGAAAAGGAAACAAAAAATAAAAAGTTTGCTTAGACCAAAAGTTTGTAAAAAATGTTCAATTCGATATTTAATGGAAACGTCTGTTGCAGATCACATAATACTAAAAGGCACTTCAGCTTTGACGCCTCTGAGCTCTGTTGAGAAGTGACATTTGTCGTAATCCTGAAGCACCACAGCACAACTTTTTTGTTATTTGATTTCGCAGATTACCGCAAAGTTAAGTTCGTGTATTCGAATTTCTATTCGTGTAAAATCGGTTTGGTGTTTTTCGATAGTTTTATAGTTTATAATACTGTAATAGAATTTTTCCGTTTGTATTCTGAAAGAATAGAGCTTACATAAAACACAAACGAACATTCCAAGCACCGCAGAAAATGATTTACCTGTAATAGCACGATCGGTAGCATTGAAGTATAGGGTCCTGTTCCTGAACGCTAACTCAATGGCAAGACAAGTTGACTACCGGCAGCTCAGGGTCGCCATTCCATTCTGTACACATATCAGAAGAAAATATCCTGGGAAAGCAACGGCTTACTCTAACGTATTGCTCACTTTCCTCACCACACATGAGTTAATGCTAAGTATCCTGGATGGAATAATGGCCTCGATATAAATGTAGAAGTTGTACGTTTGATGGACTACTAGTTAAATCAGATGTGAATGTACATGCTTTTTATTTCTCAGCAAACGTGATCCCTGCCGGCTCAATTGGCGCATGGCGCAGCATCACGAAAATGGTACTGCATGTTTTACTGATTTCAAAAAAACTATGATTTTTGATAAAGAAAAGAAC